AACAAGTCGGCTGCCAACATTGCCGTGGAGGCTGGGCAGGTAGCGGGGAGCTGCAGGAGCCGTGTCCAAGGGAAATGGACTTTGCTCCTGTCCCTCTTGCTGTGTCCTGGGAGATCCCTGGCACAGGGATCTGCTCTTAATTGCAGAGCCCTCGAGCTCTGCTGCAGCGTGTCCTGCGGCGACGTACCTAGTAACGTGCAGCATCTTGCACGTTTTGCATCCCAGGACGGCATCTCCGTGAAGACGCTTTCCGAGCAGGACGCCGAGATCAGCAATAAGAAGCCACGCAAGGCCAGCAGCGCCGATGGCATGCTCTACGGCCGCTTTGTGAAGGTAACCGGCCACGGGGGACCTGGCTTGGGCTAGTCCGGGGGCACCTGGTGTTGTTGCAGTGGCTGCTGCAGACCGTGAGCCCCTATCCCCCCGAGGCAGCCCATTGCTGCGGGGGCGCCCGGGCCTAGGGGGGCCCGGGCCTTCCTCTTTACCCCTTCCTCATTGCCTCCCTGCTTTTCCCTGCTGCAGGCGGCCACGCTCACGGCACACGGGGAGGAGGCCGCAAAGTCACCCGCCGCCTCGGACAGCAGTGAAGAGGAGGAGAAGCTGGACCTCTCTTCAGTCAGGAGGCAAGGCCTAGGGAGCATTTTGCGTCCGATTCCTGCTAATTACGGCTCCAGAGGGATGAGGGCTGTCGCCAGCTGGGAAGAAGGGGAGCGCCTTGCGCCATGGGCCTGGACCGTGGTCCCCCCGTGCAGGTCACCGGGGGTTGACGCGTCTTATCTCTGTCCCGCAGGCTGACGGACGAGGAGCTGATCCGAGCCTGCGGGGGCCGCACAGCACACAAGTAAGTGGCTGGGGGGGGGGGGGGGTGCGCGGTCTCCCTTCTCCTGGCAGGGGGCTTCAGAGGACGCTGAGCTAGGGTGGCACCTTCGCTGCTCGGCCTTGCTAAAAGCACCGGACGCCCGTGCCTGTTTTAGGGGTGCCCGGCACGGCCTGACGATGAGCGCCAAGCTGGCCCGCCTGGAGGAGCAGGAACGAGCCTTCCTGGCCTCGTACAGGCAGAAAAATGGGCTGCCAGAGACCCCGGAGAGCAGCCTCCCAGCAGAGAGGCAAAAGAAAAAGAAGAAAAAGAAACGGTGCAAAGACAGTGCTGATCCCGAAGCTGAGCAGAGCCAGGAGCCGAGTGAGGAAGAGAACACAGTAGAAGAGGGAGAGAGGGTGGCAAAGAGAAAGAAAAAGAAGAGGAAGCACAAAGAATTAGTTGAGAGAGGGGAGAGCGAGGCAGAGGCACCTCTAGGAGATGATGAGCCAGACCACACCGGGCACAGCCCCAAGAAGAAGAAGAAGAGGAAGAAGAGACAGCGGGAGGCAGACTGAACGGGTGCCAGGGTTGCCGTGCTGCGGAGATGCTGGTACCGTCTGGCCGGGAGGGTCCCAATCCAGCCCGTGGCACTTGCCGGTGCTGGTAGGAGTCCAAGGGTGCTCCAGATGGGCCCCGCGCTGCAGACGAGCCCCGTGTTTGCTGCCTGGTGCTGTTTGTGGGTGCTGGGCTGGGGCTGGTCGGTCTGGAGCCGAACCGGGGGGAAGGTGCTGGCTTTGTTTCACCCACTTGAACCTTCCTCCCATCAAGGGCAACCCTGGTCATCATCAGGCCTGGGGGCTGGGACTTCTCCCGTTTGGCGTGGTCTGCACGGGTCCATCACAGAGGGATGCAAGGGGACAGACGCTGCAGAGCGTTCTGCAGAGTGTTGCTGTTTTTGAAGAGCATCAATAAATTTTTATTGCAGAGAAACAATGCTGAGGTGTGAGCTATGCAACAGACCCAACTCCACAGGCAGTGCACAGGCACAGCCTGAGGACCCTGGATTGTGTCTATACCTACAAGCACTCAGAAATTAGAGAGTAACCCCAACTGACAACCTGCCTAGCAGGAAACCTTAATCAGCGCTGTCGTCTTCTGACTGTTGAGGACTTTGGATCAAAGCAACTAAGTTGAGTCCTGCTGGGTAGGACTTGTCTAGAGACCTGGCGAGGTGCTGAGCATCCTCCTAGCAGGGAGCTGAAGCTTTGGCAGAATTAGGCCCTGGACCCCACTGTGTCCAAGCCCAGCCAGGCCTCTGATCGTGCTCCTCTTGCTCAGCACCCTGATGCCTTCCTCGCTGCCTAGGCCTGGCCCCTAGGTTAACTGCAGGACGCAGTCTGTCTCAGGGTATGGCGGCAGGTTCAGAGCGTATTTTTCCTGGAGCGCTGCAGGCACAAACCTGCCCCCGAGGAAGTGGTAGCGGCCGGTGAAATGCGCCGCTGCCTTCTTGGGCGCCGTGAGCGAGATGAGCATGTCGGGCTGGAGGCCGTCCGCGTTCCCCTTCTCCACGTCCCAGCCTGCAATGAGCCCCAAGGAAAGGCTGGAGCCAGGGAAATTCACGGCCCTGGGTGCAGGAGGGACCTCAAAAACATCCCCCAGCGCACAGGGTGCTGTGTCACAAGCTGGGGACAGTCCCCCCGACAGGTCAGATGTGCAGCCTGTGTGGCTCAGGCTGTTACTCACCCGATGGGATGTCGATGCTGGCGATGGGGACGGTGATGCGCTTGAGGGTGCCGAGGATGCTGCCGAAGGGCTCCCGCACGGCTCCCTTGAAACTGAACCCAAAAATCGCATCCACCACCAGGCCGTAGAGCTCATCGATGAGCGTCGCCTGCAACGGGGGAGCGAGCAGGGTGTAAAACAGCATCGCCTCAGCTGGGCATGGCTCCAGGGGACCAGGGCGGCCGTTCCCCAGCCAAGAAGGTGTGCACGGCGATGTCTGCGGCCCGAGATGCGAGCCATGGACCTCGGGGCGTTGGAGGCGAGCGACCGTTGGGGTCCTGTAGCCCGTTCAGGTAACCCAGCGCAGCCTGCGGCCAGCTCCTGGCGTGAACCCGGCTGTGCCGGGCTCCCGCTGCCCCGCGACCAGCGGCC